GAGGCCAAGCCGGTCCCACACATCCCAGAAGCAGACGCTGTTTTCAGGGGTTCCAAGGCGGACAAGGCTGAGCTTCAAGCCTGGGCTCAGAGCGGAAGAGCTCGCCCAGAGCACAATCAGTGGCGAGCCCGCCTGAGCCCTGCCCAGCACTTTGATAGCCAACCTCTGACCCTGCCGCTAGAGGAGGGAGGGAAGCCAGGAAGCAACCCTGATAGAGTTTTCATCTTTGAATTAGCTGATTATTTGCGGGGGAAACAGATTGTTTTCAACCGGAAGAGGCCGCTACCTTCCAACAGCAAGCTGAAATTTCTCCCACCCCTCCCCACACCACTATAGCAGAAATGGAAGTAGAAGAGTTCAATTTTAAATATAAGAAAAACCAGACTATTGATTAGTCAACCTTAAGCTCTGGTTCAAACATTCCCATTTTACTGAGTTAAGTATACAAATATGGCTGCCTTGAATATAAATATAAAGAAAAGGTCCCTGGTGCTTTGAAAGCATTTAATCAGGGCACACACACAGTCTGGCAGACAGCCCTCAGGGACATTTTCTAGCAGGAAGTGGTGTTGGAACTGTGGGTTGAAGGAGGGGTTGCATAGGCAGGGGAAAACACCCTACCTTCCCTGGAAGAAAAGAGCTTGTCCTCCGGAGGTTAGATGGGTTGGAGGACTAGGAAGGGCCAGCAAGTGGTCTCAGAAGAAAGGTTAGGGTCAGGCACCCAGGGCGGTTCAGCTCAGGTTAAATTACCTAGTACTCTCCCCACCATTAAATGGATGTGAAAACAGAAACCATAAGGGTGTGTCCCCCTCCACGAAACGAGACACTCGGAGATGCTGAGGGTAAATCAGAGAAATGGAGAGAGATCTTATAGCCAAGGTAGAGCTGGTAGGCCAACAGTTTTGCTCACCCCTGCCAAATTCCATAACCCCCTGGGCCATCAGGCATTCCTGGCCCCACACAGTTTTCCCAGATCTCCACAGGGCAGTCCTTGTGTGGCTGAGTCCATAGAACAGGCATGAAGAGGCTGGTACGCCCCTGGTCAATTCTGGGGGTCTGGGAGTACAGCACATGAATTCCCATCGACTCTGGGCGTGAAGTGCATCTCTGGAATTCTCCTGGCTGGCAGAGAGTGTATTGACTCTAGGGAAGAGAGGATGCAGCCTACCGCTGTAGAACAGCTGCCCCCCCCGCATCCATCCAGGCACCTGCTCTACATGCCCGGTGTGTTTGTCCAGGATATAATAAAACATTTTATCAAGTACTCGCATTCTACCTTCTTGACATTTTAAAAAAACGATTTGTTTATTTTCATTTTATATGCATTGACATTTTGCCTGCATGTATGTCTGTCTGTGTGAGGGTGCCAGTTCCCTTGGAACTGGAATTACAGATAGCTGTGAACTGCTTTGTGGGTGTTGGGAATTGAACTTGGGTCCTCTGGAAGAGCAGCCATTGCTCTTAACTGTAGAGGCATCTCTCCAGCCTTCAATTTATTTTTTGAACTATGTGCGTATGTGATGCATGTGTCTGTGCATGTATGAGTGCAAGTCCCCAAAGAGACTAGAAGAGGGCATGAGGTCCCCTGGAGCTGGGGTTACAGGTATTTCTGAGCTGCCCAGTGTGGATGTTGGAAGCCACACTCAGGTCCTCTGAAGAAGTAAGACGTGCTTTTAATTGATAGCCATCTCTTTAGATTCCTCTACTCCCTACCTCTCTGACAAGATTATTTTTAAACAGCTTTTTTTAGACATTTCAAAATAAACTAGATTATGTCTATGCTCTGCATAAAACCTTTTGCTAGACTTACTCCTATCTTGTTTTGTTTTTAACAAAATAAAAAGTCCTTGTATGCCTTCAGGACTACAACCTGGCCCTTGCTTACTCCTCCAATGTCATCTTTCCTCACTTACCCATTCCACTTCTCTAATGTCCCCATGAGGTCACCCTCTCCTGAAGCCTCTCCTGGGCTTTCTTAAGTGTCACTTTCTATCAAATAGGTCTTGGTCCATATGTTCCCTCCTCAGGAAGGTTTACCTCCAAACAACACCATCTACTAGCACCGGTGGGTTGATTTCTAGCTTATCCATATGCCTATTCCTCTCATAGCTCTTATTTAATATGTGTTCTCCCTCATTTGTTTGATGTGCGTGTCATTCACTAACAGTCAAGTTCATTGAAGGCAGAAGCTTGTCTTTGAATAATGAGTAGTCATCAGACGAGCACACGAACAAGTAAATGAATGAGTACCCACCATATGAGTTGATTGCTTCAGGTATTTTGTTACAGTGACAGAAAACTAGCTAACACAAGTTCAGTAAACAATAAACATGGGCATTTAGTGTTGCGCAACACCCTGGACGCAGGAAGATGGGCACACTTGGTAGAGGAGCCAACCACAGAAACATTGAATTAGAATGCAAAGTGGTAAGTGTGGGTTAGGCAATCAACTCATAGGAAGAAAAGGCCTGCTCTGTTCTCACAGCTTTGCAAGTTGCAGTCTGTGGTTAATTGACTCTGTTACTTAGGGACCTGCGGCAAGTCAACAGATCATGGTGGCAGTGAGAGATGGAACTTGCTCACCACATGGCCAGGGAACCAAGGAGAGCAGCCTGAAGAAACAGCCAGAACAGCGCTGGGTAGGAATGTATTGACTTTCCAAGAAGAGGGTAGGCATCTCATGGTGCCGTAGAGGTGAACCGGAGTTTTTAAAGACATTTTTATTTTTAAATTATGTACACGTGTGTGCATCTGTACTGTGTGCTTGTACACATGAGTGCAAATGCCCTCAGAAGCTAGAAAAGGGGGTCAGATCCCCCTGGAGCTGCAGTTACAGGCAGATGTAAGCCATTCAGTATGGGTACTAGGACTGAAACTCTCAGAAGCAATTCAATTGAGCAGATCATTGTAGAGTTCCTGTACCTAAGAGATTTGCTTAAACAGCTTCCAGGATGTACTCAAGACATATTGCCTGAAGGAAAAAAAATCACATCTACTAAAGAAGTATTTGATGGAATGCCTACAATGGACCTAAGGAAATGAGGTTTGGCTGTAAATCTAGCTATGGCCTGGTAGAAGAATTTCTTGGAGGTGGAACCCCCATTCCAGTTCAGGAGACTAATAGAATCAAAAACCTGCAATCAGCCTTAACAATAGGACCCTGGTGTTCAGTTCTAAGACTGTATTTGTGCCATACGGCTAACCAGAAAGAACTCCTGAGATGGAGGATGGCTCAATGGACAGGCTTGGTCACTGGGCTTGTGTGAAGAGCTAGGAGGACACGCTGGAAGGTATGAATACACCAGACTGAAACGTAGGAGACCTGAGTTCCCACTCTGGATGTGGCGTGGAGCCTTTATGAGCTTGACAAAGGCACTTAGCCTATGTAGGTCTTAGATTGCGTGAACCTTACGTGACAAAGGCACTTAGCCTATGTATGTCTTAGATTGTGTGAGCCTTAAGGTCTCTGCAGTAGATTGTTTGCAAATTTGTTGCCACAGTTTCTCCCATCGCTTCTTATTTGTCCATGTTTGTTACACAATTTTGCTCTTATCCCATCAAGAGGTGGACTATCCCAAGAAAAGGGATTTCCTTTAAATCAGGGCTAGCCCCATGGCAAGATGTGATGTAAAGAATGTAGTACGAGCGGCACTATGCTTGCATCTATGCAGTGGTTCTCAGTCTGTGGGTTGTGCCCCCTTTGAGATCAAATGACCCATTCACAGGGGTCACCTAAGACCATCTCAACCTGTGGATCGCTCCCCCCTTGGGGTTGAATGACCCTTTCACAGGGGTCACCTAAGACCATCTCAACCTGTGGATCGTTCCCCCCTTGGGGTTGAATGACCCTTTCACAGGGGTCACCTAAGACCATCAGAAAACATGGGTATCAACCTTACAGTTTATAACAGTAGCAAAATCACAGTTATGAGGTAGCAATGACAATACTGTTATGGTTGGGGGTTACCACAACATGAGGAACTGTATGAAAGGGCTGCAGCACTAGGAAGGTTGGGAACCACTGCACTAAGCCATCAGAGGTCCTGTCTACATCTATTTATTTGTGGAATGAGGCTGTGGCCATGCGATCAAGCCCGAACTAGTCTCCTTGAGATTGGAAGATTGCATGAAAAGGTTTGGACAATAGCCAGTACCAACCTCTGGATATGGGAGAGACCACCTTGGATTATTCAACTCCAGCTAACTCACCAGATGAACACTGTTAAATAACCAGCCCCACACGTGATCAGCAGAACAGCCACTCAACTGAGCCCAACCAACATTTCCAACCCAGAGAGTTGTGGGCAAATAAAATTGTCGATGCTTTAACCTACAGATTGTAGGCCTGTTGTAGCTGACACTATGAAACCAATTTATTGCTCTAAAAGGAACTGGGACAAATAATGTTTAAGTCATATCTTAGGCTTTGTTGTAGAGAGTTGAAACAAACCCTTGACCTTGAATGCATTTCCTTTTAACACTATTGTGTTGACCCACTAGAGCAGTGGTTCTCAGTCTGTGAGTCACGACCCTTCAGAGTCAAATAACCCTTTCATAGGGCTTGCCTAAGACAATCAGAAAACATTTATGTTATGATTCATGACAATAACAAAATTACAGTTATATAATAGCAATGAAAATAATTTTATGTTTGGAGGGTCGCTACCACATGAGGGATTGTATTAAGGGATTGCAGCATTAGGAAGGTTGAGAACCACCGCTCTAAAGAAACATTTAAATGAGAAGAACACTTCACTGACAGGCAGATTCCCAGGGTGGTGAACGAGGCGGAAAGGCAGGAGGAGGAAGGAGACCCAAACGCTAGGGTTTATGCTCATAAGCCTGCCATTGCTTCTTCAATGAGACAAAACTGGTTGCTTAGCCACATGGGACCATAACTGCATGGGCTTAAACCTCTGTCATTTCCCACTATAAGGAAATCCAAACTTTCCCTCCAAAGGACTCAAAACTATAGTCAGTGAAATAAAAATTACAGCAGATTAACAGGAAAAAGTCCACAACATGTTTATTAATGTGTGCATGCACAAAGCTATATAGAATCTAAAAACTCAGGTTCAATTACAGAGCATAAGCTAAGCATGTGTAAGACCTCGAGTTTGATCCCAATCACCGAAAAGGAAGAGCCAAAAACAAATAATACCCAAAAGTGACGTCAAACAGTGGGAACTCAAATGCCATTCCGCATAGGACAAGGGGAGATGGGGGAGCGGTAGACACTTCAGAGGGGGAGGTAAAGACTATTTAGAGAAAACTGAGAAGCCTGGAGAGCAGACAGGATCCCAGTGGAGAGGTCCTCAGGTCTGGGTGCACTGCTTGCTTAGTTCCTTTAATGGTGTAAGTTTAGTCTCCCTTGATGAGAGAAGTGGCACTGAGCAGACCACAGGTAGCTGTTTTTCTTTGGCAGGTCTGGTCCTTTGCAAATGACAAGAGGATCAAGGGAAAGGAAGTGTCAGGGTAAGCCTAGTAAACATTAAGGCTGTTTCTGTCAAGTTGCATGTTGAAGCGTACAGTGTCACCTGTCTCTCCTCCTCTCAACTGCAAGGGTTGCAGGTTGTGAGTCTAAGGCATTGGGATCCTTGACTTGTGCATGCCGATGCCAAACAGTACACATTAACTCATATTTTTACTCACTCCCTGCAATTTCCTGTCCCCAGATCCCTAACAGTGACTTATGAAGTCAGTTAATGTAAGGTAGTCCAACAGCACGGCATCAGCCAGGATCCTTACCTGTAAACCCCAGTCAGGCAACCTGCAAGATGACCTTTCTCGTTGTTTTTACCTTGGGATGGATATGTAGCTTCAACTGTGTCCCAGGTTCATAGGAGGCCTTGAGACGCCATTCTGACATCGCTTAGCCTACTTACCCTCCTGTGGGAACTCAATAGCTGCCTCTCCCTAATAGTCTTCAGAGGCTTTTCTTTGTGTGTGTGTGTGTGTGTGTGTGTGTGTGTGTGTGTGTGTGCACATGCCCACACACCTGTCATGTCTTGCAGGTGCATTTGTGTGTGAATATTATGAATATGTACAGGCCCAAACTAACACCAAATATTTCCTCTGCTTCTTCCCACCTTATATATTAAGGTGAGGTCCCTCGTTGAACAGGGAGCTTGCCTTTCATCTAGTCTTGCTAGCCAGCTAGCTGCAGGGATTCTATTTCTACCCCCTGCTGGTTGAGAGAGCTGCCATGCCTGCCCAGCTTTTACATCGGTTTCGGGGACCCAAACTCTCGGCCTCATTTTGAGCCTTCTCCACGCCGCTTCTCTAGTTATTCCCAAGTTACAGGTTCTATGTTGTCGATGTAAAGACAATGCTCTCTCTTCATCTCTGTGCTGGCTCTCCCTACCCAGTGTCTCTGCTAACAGCTTCCTTCCTTGCAGTTTCTCTCTTGGCTCCATAGATAACTGAACCAGTCCAAGCAGGCTGTTGAGGACCAGGGATTCCATCACTGTGCTGGTGTCATGGAGTTTCTCTGTGTTCAGAAGACCCTCATCTGCGGTTCCCCCTGCCAGTCTGGCGGGCCTGAGACCCTCCTGCATCATTTTAAATAATGACTGTCATTGGAGTACCAGGGCTCTTTCAAATGGCACCCAACACGAAACATCTAACCCCTTAGCCTTCTCCATCATTAACGTGTTGGTCTTGAAACTTCAAACCATAACTGTCCCCCATCTTTGCCTTGAACCCACAGCATGGCATCTTCTTGCTTTCTGTGGTGTTTCCTGAGCTGCTGGTAGTTGGAGAGAGAGGGAGGAAAAGTGATAGACAGACAGAGAGTCAGAGACAGAGGGTCGGGGGGGGGGGAAGACTGCAGTTTCCAGTAAAGCCTGGTCCAACACCTTCTAGGATCAAAACAAGAGAGAAAACCCTCCATTTCCTTGACGTACACATCTAAAATCCAAACCGGCTGTTAGCACAGGTATTCAAGGCATGGCTGTGTGCTGAGCCCTTTGTCCTCTCTTGGGATTACCGCACTCATGTCATGTAGGAGGTGATTTTGACTAGTCTGGGCAGGTCCTCTATTGTATTGTTCTGGAAATGACGGCAGTGACTCACAATTCGGGGAGTTGTGATACTCTGTCACAACTTGCTTCTTCTTCCTTCTTTCTAATGGTACAAATGCGGATTTGGGGGAGGGTCTGAGACTACAGAGTCCTAGTCAATTTTAATCCACTTCAAAATTAAACGTTTGAAATTAGTTTTAATTCCCCCATCAGCTGTTCCCCTCTGATGACTGTTCTCATCTGTACCACACCATTGTAAAACTTCTGCACCATTCCTAGTCTTATGGATTACAAGTTCATTTAACAACCAAATTAGCATGGCCAGGGAGATGGCTCGGGGAGTAAAATGTGAGGTTGCTCAGCGGGTAAAAGTGTTTGCTATGTAAGTCCAATGATCTGAGTTCATGGACCTCATGTAAAAAGCTGAATATCATGGCACACTCACCTGTAATCCAGACATTCCTACGGTAAGATTGAAGGCAGAGACAAGGGAATCAGCCGGCAGTATCTCATGGGCTCTCAAGCCTAGAGTACACAGAGCAGTGGCAGAAACAAGAGAGACCTTGACTCAAAATGAGGTAGAAACAGAGAACTGACTCTTAAAATGTTGTTGTCTGAACTACTCACATGCACGCATGTGCACAAACACACAGCAAATAAATAAAAACTTAAATTGTCACTTTTGAGTAGGTGTTAAGGTTATAGATAGAGGATTCATAAGAGAGTGATTCATACAATCATCTCAAAGCCATAACGGATTAAGTGAACAATTTATCTCTCAGATGCACTCAACTGAAGGGTTTATCCTTGGGTATTTGTGTTGAAATGTACTGAAACCGGAAGCCAAACCATCATATTAGCTAACAAGAAACTGTTCTGGTCCACGCAGAAAGATGTCGTTGAAACGTTATTCCCACGCTGATCATGCCACATGATTGCAGGCAATCATGGGTCTTATAGTCTTGTGTTAGCTATACTCCTGCTTAGTCTGTTTTTCATTGATTTATTTATTGAAACACGATCTAGCTCTATAGCCAAGGCTGACCTGAAACTCACGATCCACCTGCCCTGGCATCCTGGGTCCTGGCATTACAGGTGCATGCCACCACTTCAGACTCCTTTGTGTTTGTATTAATGGGCGTGCACAGTAGGGGAGACATTACAGGCAATCTGAGTGTGAAAGGCCAAGGATGGCTGCACATATCCCATGAATCAGAGTAGATGGTAGAACCCAGCTGCATCACACAGTATGACAGATAGCAGAGTGTGAACAGAAGCCTTTCTAGCAGTTTCCCAGATGTGATGGGTAGTATAGTATCTACAAGAGTACAAAGGTCACATTTCCCTCTCCAAGAATCTGATGGCGCACAGGGCAGAGACAAATCATTCAGTTAAAGAATTTGACTCGCAGGAACAAATTGTTTCAATTGGTTCTTGCCAAGCTCAAGTACAGTAGTGTATATGGGTAAGGAGAGATGGTCTAGGTGGTTTATCTGGTTGATCTTGGAAGGCTGCTTGGAGGAGGCCAGATGTGAAGTGAGAAAGAGATGGACAAGACATTTACATGTGCTTTTCAAGGACAAAGGGGGTCTGGGTGGAGCTGTGGAGAAATGCAGATTCCTGGGTCTGACATCAGCCTCCCAGGGGGGAGGCCCCGTGCAAGCAGCCATGATGTGAAACCAACCGTCAGGAGTGAGGCTGGGGTCTACTCAGAGACTATGAATGAGTCTTGAAAGGGCCCCCTCAGGGCTGTGACTGGGATAGTCAGAAGTTGCTCACCTCTTCAGAACGCCAAATAAGAAGAACTAAATGAGGCACAGTTTACTCTGAAGATGAAATTCTTGGATGTGAAGGTTGTCAAGGATGCTGAGATTTTCTTCTGACACGACAAATAAAGGCCTTCTTCAGAACAAGGAAGAAAGTGGTTTAAACATCAAGCCGTTGTCAGCATGGGGTATATGCCGGAGGACCAGAAATCTGAGGTAAGCCTGAGGACCAGAAATCTGAGGTAAGCCTGGACAATGTAACCAGACCCTGTCACAAAATTCAAAAGGCAAGCCTAAAGCAAAACAAAACGAAGCAGAAAGCACTTATTCTTTAATTGAACAATCAAAAAAGACACATAATTTCGTTGGCTAAGCCAGTGGTAGACAAGTGTAAAGAACCAAAAGGGAAATGTTTTCAGTTGTACAGACCATATGGTCTCTGTCACTCCTTTTAATCCATTCCATTGTAGAACAAACACAATGTTAGACAGTATATAAGCAAATAGCATATCTACGTCCCAATAAAACTTTATGGATGCTGAAATTGAATTTTATGTAATGTGCACATGTTACAAAATGTTACCCTTTAAAATTTTTGTTTTTAATCATTTTAAAATGTAAGTTCTTGGGCTTAAGTTATAGCAGATTATCTAATATGTACAAGGCCTTGGACTTGACCCCCAGCATCACAAAAATAATAAGAGTAAAGAAATATTTCCAGTAGCCAAGAAATAGAAACAACCCAAATGCCCATAAATTGTGTCTACATATACTGGGAAAGTATTCAGTTTTAGTCTTAAGGACATTATACTAAATAAAATAAGCCAGTTGGGGGGGGGGAGGGAAATATTCTATGATTCCACTTACACGAAGTATCTTACATGAAGAATTCATGGGAGCAAGGAGTAGAACGAGTCTTTCCAAATACTTGGGCAGGGTAAGGATGGGGAGGAGGTTGTTCTTAATGGTTATAGCTTTTCAGTTTTACAAGATGAATGTGTTCTGGGGGCTCAGTTTCTTAACAAAGCAAACACACTTAGCATGACTGAACTAGACATTTAAAACAGGTACATTTTATTGCTTTATTTTCAAAGCTACAATTAAAAAGAAAAAGAAGTAAATTCTTCCACTTAAGCCTAGCAGATGCTGCTATTTTTTTTCCAAACTATAATTACAAAGGAAAAGGAGAGTTGTCTTCTCTGTAGGAACAGGCAGGGGACTCCTGAGACAATCCAAATCCAGGCTTGTCAGCGTCCCAGCAAATCCTCTAACCACAAGCAGAGGAAAGGCCAGCTCTCACAAGGCCACCCACAAGTCTATGAAACTTCTTAAAAGTGCCTTTAAATGAAATTCACAAACGTTTTAAAACCCTACTCCATAATGCATGTTGTTTTAATGTAAATTTGGCTTTCACTGTTAAAAAAGAAAACAGTGGAAATGGTTGCTTGTTTGGGCTCAGTGAGGCTGGAGAGTTCAGTCAAAGACTCCTAGTTCAGAAGGGCAGCCTCAGACTGGGTCCTCCAGTGAACACCTTCCGGGAGTGGGTGGTCCTCCCATTGTCCCATTTGCCTCTCCATCCCCAAGCACTAAGCTCTGGTGTGCCCTCAAATACTGAAGCCTCTCCAAAGCAATGATGGCCCCTGCTTTGTGGATTCTCCCCAGAGCCACCAATCCCCAAGGGTCTACTATTAATATTACTCACTCTGTTTGTTCTAGAATAGCTTGATTTGATTTCTTATCCCCCTCCAGTTATGTTTTCTTTTTTATCTACCTGTAATTCTTTCCCTATTAATTCATTCATTCATTCATTCATTCAGTGCTGAGGGTTGAACTCATGGGTTTGTACATCATAGGAAAGTACTTTACCTCCAAGCGAAATCTCTGTCAAGACTTGTACACATTTCTAGAGCTTTCTTTCAGAGCTGCTGTATAAGTATTGTGTCCCTAACCCTGCCATATTCCCCCAAGACAGTGGTATGTCACTCACAAATGCCCTCTTTATGGCATGCATACATCCTCTCCCGAGGCCCATGTCTCTTGACGGCTCTGAAGATAACCTGTGGGCTGTGAGGAATGTGAGATTACACACACCCACCCACCCAACTGTGGCATCGCACGGAGCAGTTTGTGGCTGGCCCTAAAAGTCTTGCTCTGCCTATTCGTTCCCTCCTTGTCCCCAACCCCTGGTAACCACAACTTTCTCCCTGCTGCCCACAATCCCACCTTTTCTAGAAAGAGTTGGAATCATACAACACTTAGCCATTTGAGACTGGCTTCTCCCCGACACATGCTTTCTAACATAACAAGCAGCATGTGTTCCTGTGCTTCTGAGCTGGACGGTACGCTTACATTCTGCATTCAGTTATACACACAGACAGCTGGATCATACAGGGACACACACAGTCTGAGTTCTGCTGAGTGACAGGAGAAGCCAGCTAGGGATTTTAAATGATAATCTCAAGTGGAAAATTAGCTGTGGAAAGCAGGGTTTGATAAACAACCCCCTTTCCCATACTCCCTCCTTCTGTTTCTCTTCTTACCTCCTAGAGCACTGGGGAGCCTGGTCCCAACCAACAGGTTATACACATCAGTTACTAAGCAAAAACATTGGCCCTGTTTAACAGGGTGTTTAGGATAGACCCTAGCAGATGGGGGAGGTGGTATTTACTTCCATAAATCTAATCCCTGGACCTTTAATAGTAAGGAGATACTTGTAAACTAATATTTCAGAGAGATCACAAACACTAGAGAAAAATAAAAGCGAGGAAATGTCAGAATGGGTCCTCCTGACCTGAAAACTGGTTTTCAAAGCGACTCCCACTGGAACGTGATTCCCCATCTGACAATCACACCAAACAAAACGAGGGTGGGGGGGAGGGGGCAGGAGGCTAGTGGGCTAAGGCCGGTCAATTAGGGTTTTAACAAGTCACTGTGTGCCCACACACACACACACAAATGCTGAACGTTCAGATTTGAAACCCACTGATCTGAAGCCCTAAAGAGCTGGGGCATGAAGCTGGAAGATTCTGGAAGGCTGTGAATTTGAAGCAGAATGCTGAGGTTGGGAAATTGTGTAAAGGGTTTGTTAGTAAGAGACCCATTTCCTCCCCTGCAGAGCGGTGTCCCACTCTCCAATCAGATCCTGTCCAGGGCCAGAGAGTCCAGGCTTGAGACCACAGGGTTCCCCTTCCGGAGTCTGGAGCCACCTGGAGCTCCTAAGGTGGTGTCTGTTGAGCCACTTTTCCGCCTCTCTCTTCTATTTCTGGTTGTGAGCCCAGCCTTTAAGGGTTTGAGCCATCTCTCCAGCCCTACCCGTTTCTTTCTTAAGAAACCTGGCTTCTAGTTTGTGGCTCTTAAAAAGTTTTTCCCAAAGAGGACCCTAATTCTAACGCTTTAAAATTTATTATCATTATTAATTATATTGTTGCTGCTAAATAAGTTAATATAAGATAACGTTATCTGACCGCATCTCTAGGAAGCGTCCATCTCCTTTTGTGTGCACCGTACATCTTTTCACCCTAATCCGCCTGGTTTGCAATAAAAGCAGCCCAGTGCCCAGAGCATCCAAGACCTGAACCCCATTCTCGATCCCTCCTATCCCCAACTCTTCCATGCCTACTCATAGAGAACAGACTGCCCAGCTCCCTGGCAGGCCAACGCTGCAGGGCACGACCCCAGGGTGATGCCTAGCTCAGGGACTCCTGTGCACTGGAGTGGACGCAGCCCGTTGTGTGGAGGGGCGGCGGCCTCGCCGGCGGGTCCCCAGGCTCCTCCCCTGGGGCTGCCGAGCAGGAAGCGGGGCGGGCGCGGCGGGGGCGCGGCGCGGGGGCGCGCGGGACTTGCGGGCGGGCGCAGGGTCCGGCGCCGGGGGGATGCGCGGGTCTGGGCGGGCAGCCCCGGCGCACAGCCGCGGCCCGGGCGCGCGGCGCGGGGCGGAAAAGCCTGTTTACACAGACTGCACACCGCCTGGGGAATAATGCAGTAAAGGAAGTGAGCAGGCTCGGCCTGACTGCTCCAACTTCCTGCTCTCACACACAGCAGAGGAAAAAAAAAAAAAAAAAAAAGAGGAGCGAGAGAAAGAAAAAAAAAGGGGGAAAAATCAGGATCTCATTACAAGAGCAACAGACCGTCTGCAGACGCCTGTCAGCATGGAAAGTCGGGGGCTTTCGCCCGGGTCCTCCTAGAAATCTTCCCAAGAAGACTCCCAAACGCTCCCCCACATCTGGGTAGGTTGCAGAACTGTGTTTGCCTGTTGCTCCAGCACTTGCAAAGTTTTCTTCGGGGTAGTCTCTCTCTCTCTCTCTCTCTCTCTCTCTCTCTCTCTCTCTCTCTCTCTCTCTCTCTCTCTCTCTCTCTCTCTCTCTCCCTTCCTTCTTTCTTTTCTTTGGCTGGTGGGGGTGGGGCGGTGGGCTCTGTGGGGTGGGTTGTGGACTGGTGGGGGAGGATAGGGGTGCGTCCCCGAGGGGGAGGATGCTGCGCGCCGTCACCGCCATCGCCACCGCCGCCACCGCGGGAGCTCTTGCGCTGGCCTGGGGGCTGCGCTGCGAAGCCAGGGGAAGGGGGCACCGGGCGTGCAAGCTCACGCACCCCTGCAGGCTGTCGAGCGAGGCTCCGGGGCCCTGGGACCGAGGATGGTGGCCGGAGCGGGCTGCGTGGCTGGAGGCTGGATCGCCGCTGACCTCAAGCTGGGGCTGTGATCGGGATCCCTTCAGGATGGGCACCAAGGCGCGGGTGCTCAAATCCAGAGAGGGCACAAGGATGGAGAGGAGGTGGAGGACGTGGGCAGTGGAGATGTGGGGCCCTGGGCTGCGTGTCCACTCACTCTGGGCAGGTGACCCCCGCCCAGGTCATCGCCCCAGGCGCACGCTCAGTCAAATGGACATTTAAAAGCCGACCGAGTCTGCTGGTCTGGATTCGGGATTGGGAGATGGGCCAGGCCAGGGATGCTCTTGAAGTTATCAGTTCTTTAGCTGCCTGCTGGCCTGTACTGTTACTGGAACTTTTTTATTTTATTATTTTTTTTAGAAGGGGGGATTAAATTGGGGGCGAGAGCTAAAAAAATTTTAAAGGTCTCTGTTTTGTTACGTTTTCGGATCCGAATCTTTTCGAGGATAAGCTGCAGTTACGCGGCGGGTGGGGGGTGCAAGCAAGAAAGGCTATTTCAGAAACTGCAAAAGGGGCTTTTTAGAAGGAAAAAAAAAACGAGTGTCGGGAGAGTTTCTGGCTTGTCTGGAAACGGCAAGACTAATTGCCGTGCGCTTCCGCTTTGAAACTGGCTGCAGACAGCATCTTGAAAATGACTCACTGAGGAGCTCACAAAGAAACTGTGGTTTGCTGCTTCTCAGGTTTATGTATTTGTGCCTTTTACAGTTTCCTTTGTAGTGTTCGAGGGTCCCCCGCCCCTTCCCCGCCGGCCCCCTTGTTCCCTCCCTGCTTTGAAAGCCCCTTACTAGCCTTTAACTCCCTGCAGTCCTCTGCCCGAGGTGGAGGCAGTTGGGGATGGGGGGGCGAGTTGTTTTTGGAGTTGGCTGGGGAGAGGGTTAAAGGGATTCTGCTGCTGCAGGGGGAAAAATGTTCCTTGAATTTTCCACTGGCTGCTGCAGGAAGAGAGCCCCTTTAGTCATTGCTAAGTAATGTCTGCACACACACACACCGACTAATCTCATTGGGAGTTTCCGCTGCTCCGCACAGGAGGGGTTTTGTGCAAGCCACTGTCAGCCTGCGGAGCAGGCGCTGCCGAGCAAGGCCTTATTGACTTAGAGGTGCTTCCTCCACCCCGCCAGTCTTTCCAGGGCAGTCTCAAAAAACTTGGAAGGCTCTTTGGCCATTTTGGTTCTCAGGAGAACACGCTTTTCTTCTGTGCGTGCGTGTGCGTGTGGGCGCGTGTGACACACACACACACACAGAGAGAGAGAGAGAGAGAGAGAGAGAGAGAGAGAGAGAGAGAGAGAGAGAGAGAGAGAGAGAGAGAGAGAGGGAGGACTACTGCCGGTCCTCTCCCATCTGTGCCTTGGCTTTGTTGGGGGTTGGGGGCTTTGGGAAACCCAGGCATGTTCCGGGCATCTATTAATGAGCCTGAATCGATTTCTGAGCCTTATTGCCCAACACAGTATTCTCCGGTCTCACTCCTCTTCTCCTCTCTGTGGAACACATTTATTTGGAAAAGGTCAGTTATGGGTTTGAATTTATGAGGATTATAAAATTAGAGATTGTGTTAGGAGGGCATGCAGGTCAGACAGCTAAGGAGACTGTCCGACATGAGCTTCCAGTAATGACCCTGCTTGCAAAACCCCAGAGCATGAAAAGTGATGGCCTTATGATGCCAAATATAGCTCAGGCCTTCTGGCTTGCTTCTTTCTTTCTGTCTTCCTTCTTTCCTTTCTCCTTTCTTCTTTCTTTCTTGCCTTTAAATGTTGGTTAGAAATCTGTAGAGTTACTAAAAAGGACAAAGAATTTTAGAGAACCCCTTTGGAAGCACGGGGCCCTTTTCTTGACAAGGACATGCTGCCTCTCTGGACTTCTAAGGTATTGCCATGACTTCTCCAGTGGCAAATGTATCCTAAAAGCAACCCAGCCAGCCCACCCTATGTGAGTCAGTGGGCCTAGGATTTCCCTTATACCTTTCCTAGTGCTAAGTGGGCGGTCAGTAAACTGTTGGTGCTGAGTGACTTGCTGGGTTGGACAACAAAACTCTAGCTGATGGGGAAACCTTTCAAGCACTCATCCTACAGGAGAACCCCCTGAGGTCCAGGTTGTGAACACATTCCCTAATCATCCAGTGGGTTCCAGTGCTCCCCAACCTTCCTAATGCTGTGGTGACCCCAACTATGAAAAGATTTTCATTGCCGCTTCATAACTGTAATTTTGCTACTCTGATGAACCGTAATATAAGCATCTGATATGTGACCCCCAAGGGGTCTCAGTCCACAGGTGGAGAACCACAGAGCCACTGTTCTTATCAGAGGAAGGAAGGCATCGGAGCCCAAGTTGCTGAACATGCCTGAGATCTGTTTCTGTTGTTTCCAACCAGGAATGATTTTGCTCCCTGCAAGGAACACCTACAGGGTTGCAATTGGTGTCCACAGGCAGAAGCCAGGGGTGCCGTTATTCATTCAAAAATATCTAGGACACCTCCCCATAAATAATCTGCTAGCTCCAAGTGTTAGTGCTTACACCAAGCGTTCTCACTCACCTTAATGATGAAGATGATAAAAGCTCTCAAAGGCATTCACTCAACAAATGGACATCCAAAGTCTTCTGTTGTCCTTTTCGTTTTGGCAACATACTCCGTTTTATGTCCCTTTCTGTCTTTGTCTCTCTCTCTGTGTCTCCCAGCTCCTGTCTGTCTTTTTCTCTGTGCCACAGAATGACAGATACTGACATTGTGATGTAATGATTGTGTGTGTGTGTGTGTGTGTGTGTGTGTGTGTGTGCTGAATTTTTGAACCCCCCTCCCAAGCGGTGAGTCGCCACATAACCAGTGCCGAAGCCTTTTAAATAGGAAGGGCAGTATTTGGATGGGGGAGGGCAGGGCTTTTTGTTTTTTATTTAATCAACCCCACATGAATTTTGAAGTTACCTAAGCATTTATATAAAAACCTCCCTTTTTGTCTTCTGTAAGAAATCAATGAATTCAAAGCTGCTAATATACAGTAAATGCAACTCTGAGGTCATATATTAAAATTTATGTTTGTCATAACTTTTTGGAACTTAAATCTTTTCCTGAAATTGGGTTCAGAAGACTTCCAGGCAGTGTGTATAAATTAAAATATTCCTTCTCAGTGATCACACACTGGATTTTGTGTGTTCTGTGCCACCAAATTATACTTCTATAGATGATATTGTCAGATGTTACAAATGTTACTGACAAGCCCAAGGCACTTAATTAAAAAAATTACCCATGGGTATGACTTCCTGGAGTAAGGTGAGTTACTCCCTACTAGCCAGCAGTTTGGGTCCTTGACATGCCTGGGCAGTGACACAGTCCTCTTTCCTCGCTGGGCCTTAGGCTCCTCGTCAAGCATAAAAAGCAAAGAGCTCTCTGTCTGTTTTGACTCTACCCTGGCGACCCGTTCCTGAGCCTTCTTTTACTCTCTTGTGTTCATCATGAGTGGCATGAGGTCCCTCCTGTTCATCAAATAGCCTCTCATGCTCCACGCAGACGTTTCCTGAGTACTTGTCATCTTAGCTCCTCTTGGCCGATGCAGGGTGATTTAGAGTGGGCTGGAACCACAACAGTCAAAAGACATCTTCTAAAGGTTGCTTTTTCTGTTTTTCTTGGTTGTGAAAAACATCATAAATTACCCTAGGAAAACACAGAAAGCCACAACGGCAACAATAAACATCTCCAGAAAATCCTGCTGCTGACATTTCATTGTATATTTTTTGCAGTCTTTTCAAATGTGTGTGGTATATACAGACGCACAGGAACATGTATGTGCATAAGGTTTTATTTGGAATCATGTCATACTTTTAAAAATGGCTTATTTTCACATACCATCCCACATGTTCATTTTAGTAATGAGTACCCAGACTCGAGGTGCCAAGCCTTGAGCCTGTATTTATTGAGGATGGGTTGATACGATTTCTAAGGATCTGGTCTTGTGTTCTGTCTTCTGTAATGTCTTAAGAATGCTGCCCTCTTGAAAGCCTGGGTTCCTATGTGCTGTGAAATTTGGGATTTTGATGAGTGTCCCTATGATTTAAGTGTGAGTCATGACTTGCAGTAGAGTATGGAGCTGTAGTAACAGGAAGTGAGGGCCCCATAAACCAGAACAGAATGCTAAAATGAAGGAAGAGGAGGGAGGTTAAGCTCAAACATACACCTTGGGATGAACCAGCTGGAGGAAGGTCCACATAGACAACTCTTACTTATTGCTGTATCCACACTTCCCAAACCTTGGTGTTTTTATCGATTTTTTTTAAAAGCTCAATATTACTATTGCCCGTGGCCAGATTGAATTGAGGTCATTCAGCTTTTTGATTGAAACCATGGCAGTGACACCATGACGACTCTGTTTTTGCCACTTAGAGTGCAGGGCCAGCAAATTAAATTACTCCTGTGTTTGTATGTTTAGCTTTCTGTTAACAAATCCTCAAGGCCTCCAAAGGTGGTAGCTCATTCTCTCTTTTAGGTAACTGCTCTTCCAGTATTTAGCTCTCTCTGATTCCTTTCCACAATCAGAGTTAAGACAATCCTTGCACTCATTCCTGGAAATGCACACCGATGTCAGCAGTTTCCCAATAAACTTTGCAGTGGTCACTTCAGCTAAATGTGACTTGGGTTGAATTATCACTAGGAATAAACTATGGCAACTTTACTGCTATGGAGTAATTCACATTTCATGGGAAGAATACTAAACTGTTTTAAAAGTTAAATAGAGGGCTGGAGAGATGGCTCAGGGGTTAAGAACACTGAATGCTCTCCCTGAGGACCCGGGTTTGATTCCCAGCACCCACATGGCAGCTCACAACTGTCTGTAGTTTCAGTTCGTGGCAAAATACCAATGCACATAAAAAATACAAATATATTTAAAAAGAAAGTACTTGTTAAAGAAAAATTAAGTAGAATTCCTTTATAACTTAGCTGAGAACTTTACTTGCATATTTTCAAAGTAATCAAGGTGATTGGTTGTAATAACATTTGAATTTGATTAAACTAAAATGAGTTTACTCACACACTCAAAGGCTGCTCAAAGGCTTTTGGCATTTTTAAGTATTTCTAAAGCTACTGGAGCTAAGGTGCTCCCATAGCCACAAATCTGCTAGGAATCATGTGGTAGGTTAAAAATAAAAGAGCAACAACTATCTGGATGTATTTCTTTAGACTGGTTAGGTTAGGGCTCTCAGCAGAAGGAAAAACAAAAACAGAAGACCCTTGACATACTTTTCACTTTAATTAAAAGAGAATAGGTTTTTCTGGGCATGGTGATGTACACCTTTGACACCAGCATTTGGGCAGTCGAGACAGGCTGATTGCTAGTCTGAGGACTATAACATGAGACCCCGTCTCAAGCAAACAAACAAATGAAGGCTTTAGTTTAGACACATAGATTTCAAGTGTGGTTGCATAAACCCATGTATCTATCTTTCCTAAATGAAGGATATTTATATTTCCATCATGTCAACGTACTCCCTGAGTGTTTCTGTTTTATCTCAATTGGTATGCTTCATGATTCTACCAATTAGATTCTTAAACCTCAGAACCCCCTGATAAAATACTGCAGTCCTTTTGCTTGACTGCATGGCTAAACATGAATCAGTAGGATATGTGGATTTCCTCATCAACAGGAAAAGGAGGAATCTCTTTTGGTTTATTTGATGTGCAGAATATTTAACCAGTGCTATAGGAAAAATAAAAGTATTCCTTTAAAACCAACTAGGTTGAGGGGGTATTACTCAATCGTTCTATGCCTCAGTTTCCCTAGCTGAATAGTAATGGTGTTGAAATGGAGGGGCTTAAATGTCAAGACCCAATCATATAGTTTTTTGTTGTTGTTGTTTTGTTATTTATTTATATTTTTTGGAGAGCATACTTGACCTTATGATAGGAGTTTTTGCTGCTACCTTAGGACCAAGTGTAGCAGTTTAAACTTCCCTTTGACTTCACATGGCCCTTTATTGAATAAGGAGCACCCAAAGGACGGTGCCACCAGCCCGGCTCCCCTCCATTCTCTCCCCAAGTTTGGGGAGAAAACTGAGTGCCATGCTCATTTCTAAGGACCTTCTGCCCTCTGACTGACGTGGGCCGGGCTCCGAATCTGAGCTGTCCCAGGGAGGGTTGCCGCCTCCAAGCTGAGTTCTACCTCTTCCATGCAAGCATAATGGTACCCTCCATCACCTCCACTGTTCAAAAGGGCACCCATCTTCTTTACTCTGCCCTGTCCCCGGGCCCTGGCAGTATCAGGAGCTCAGCCCTTTACAAGCTCACAGCATCCTCTGTTACTTTGGCTCCCCTGCCCCAGCGGACCCTCCCGGCAGCCCAGGGTGAAGATGCAGCTCCCTAGCCACAGCTGCCCTCTGTGGATGTGGCCAGTCTCCTCCACACGTGGTCCTTTCTTCTGCCCTTACTGGTCCCTCTGCCACCTGCCTTTGTAAACGCACTCTCCCGGGAACCTACTCTTTAGAGGCGTGCAGTCAGCAGTCATCGTTTATGTATGTTTATTTTGTAAATGAACTTAATAGCGTTTCCTGGTTTGGGTACACAGAGCTGTAGAGATCGTCCTGTCATGGGCATGCTCAGGTGTCACTCACTCTCTATACCATAGTCACATCCCTTCTCTACCCGCCCTCCCTCCTCTTCCCCCATCAGCTGGCCCTCCTCTTAAACGCTTCCTCTACTGCCTTCCCATCTCCCTCTCAAGTCAAGCTTCTGCCTATGACAGAAACATGGTATTTCACCCTCTCTCCATTATCTCCCATACCTCCCCTTCTTTCCTTAGCTTCCTTCCAGTTCGCCTGTCACCTCCCTGCAGAAGGCTGTGGTTGGCCCTCAGCCCTTCCACTGGGACCCCAGCCCTTAATAGAGGCTTTCTTTCCAGGTTTCCTCATTACCCAAATTCTTGCTGTCTGGACCCAGGAGCTAGACAGTGTTAGGTGTGTATTTCTGGAGACTGGCTGCTATTCCTAATTACCTATTAATACCCCTTCCAAATTCCAAAACCAAGGAGGTGTGATAATATGTTGTCCAGACCCTTGAGCCAGGTAGCTTCAGAGAGTGAGGGCCACTTGCAAGTGTGTGTGACACGTTTTCCACATCTGTGGTGCCCATCCACCTGGGAACTCCCTTTGGGCCCACATCTGTTTTTCTCATCCTTGTGTTCACCCAGCACTGTATACAACACCTTGAACTTGGTGAATTAAAAACAAACCAAAGCGAAGAAGCCGTATTGTGCAGAAACCCAGTCCTTTTCTAGAAAGTGCCCTGCGGAGTTACTAAGAGGCAGATCTCCTGGCTAAACCATACAGCTAGGAAGAGTGCCTGTGTCATTCGCCATAGTTTTTATTTAAACTTCCAAGAAAGGTGTATGCTCAGAAGCTGGGTTAGTGTGTTAACTATTGAGACAAAAGACCAGTGTTAGACCGAGAAAGGTCAGCTGCACCTCGAAAGGCATTCATGGAAAGTGCTTTCTTTCCAGACTGCCACGTTTGGTTGAAAACCTTTCTTTACCTGGAACATGTGTAGTATTTGTAATAGAAGAGATGGGCTAAAGACCAGCTCATTTTTATTTTTGTTTTTTAATGGAGGAGTACTAGTTTCACCTTGGTTTTGCCAAGGTTCCCTTTGCTGGGGTCAAGTCTGGATTAACCAGAATGTATGGTCAAGCAGGTACCCTCTCCTCCAGTCCTTCCACCATGACCTTTGGAGAAAAGAGTGACCAAAACAAGTCTCAAGATTTATCCCAGGGCTAGCTGCCCAGTATGTCTGGGAATCAACTGGGAGACTGCACTGCCCACATCTATAGCTTGGCATCCTCAAAATGATGGCACCTACACTCACAGCACTCAGCCAAGGAATACTGTAAGCATGAAAAGGGGGTCTTGATGTTGGGTGACTAACACTGGAAGCTAAGAACGCCTTGCTGGAAGGCTTCACTGGACCTGGACTGGAGTGTCCCCACCTTGTCCCCTTATTGGGGTTTGTCAGATTTGCCTTTGGAGGTAAGCTCTACTCATTGGGATTTATAGGAAAGAGATTGGAGTGGAAGGGGGGCGTGTGTGTGTGTGTGTGTGTGTGTGTGTGTGTGTGTGTGTGTGTGTCTGCTTAGGGAGGCATGGCTGCCAGGGTTCAAGAGAACCTGGCAGGATGTGACCTCAGAAAAAGTGACCAAAACAGCTCCTCCTCCTTTGTAGGGAGCAAGCCTGGCTGGGTGGGATTTGAGCCCTGCTTCAGTACCTAGGGAGGTGCCTAAGGGAATGCTGTTTACTGTGCTTCTCCACCCGGAAGAATCATTGTTTCATTATAGGAAGCCAGGCAAGAGCCTGAATTTACTCTATAATTTCCAGGAAAGGAGAAAGTCTGGATTCCCAGTAATGTCAGCAAGTCCCATTCTGAACAAAGAAAGAAGGCAGCTGGCCTGATAATGCTGTCTGGAAGGTTAGGTGGAACATTTGCTTGTATGATCCTGGGCTTGAACTCTTGCAGCTTAGGACTCAGGAGCATAGATATGGAAGTGATTTCTGCCAGTGCCCATCTCTGTTTTCCAAGCTGTACCCTCAGAGGCCATTTAGACCAGAGAGCATTAGGTTCTCTGTCTCCGCCTGTCTCTCTTTCTCTCCCCCCACCTCTCCTCCTTCTTCCTCCTG